AAAAAAACTTGTGTCCCCAGGTTAATATCTCCTTAGGGCCAAGACAGTGAAGTGCCTATATTTTTATTTTCTTATATTGCCATCCGTTGACTATAAAGCACATTATGCATCTTTCATGTCCCATTCATTTTAAGGGCTCATTCCCAATGAAACTTTCATATTACATAGATTGATCCAACTCTGCAGGACTGATTGCAATAAGAGCCCACAATTCAGTAGGAATGATCTAGATAAACCAATAGTTTGAATGAGAATGAATCCTAAGACTAATGTAATAAAGTCAGCTTAATAAAGAGGTTGATGTGCAGTCAAAATAATTGTCAGTCAGACAGCAGAAAAGTATGGAAGCTCAGGTAACTTAGTCATGCAAAGCTTATGTTACATAATGCACGTAATAGTGTATTTTCTATAAAGACATGCAGGTGTTTAGCAGTCAAAATTTGCATTAGGTTTGGTAAGATAAATTATTAAATACGTATGTGTCATGGGCAAGATTAAAGTCAAGGCAGATTTAAAATCCCTAAGTGAATTTATTTACATCTCTGTTAAATACCTGTTGAATTTTAGTCTTAAGTATTATGATTGTCTAGAAACAAGTACATTGTGTTATTAATTATTAAGGCTTCTGTTATAAATATGTAAATAATATATGTTAACCAATACTGTGTCAGAGATGTAGCTCACATATATATAATGGTATATCCAGACAATTATCCTTTATAAGCTAAAGAAAAAAAAAGAATATTGATTTGCAATTGCAGAACTGATAAGGTTTAGTTTATTGGATAAAAGTGAAGGCTTAACTTGAATGCACTGGTAGTAAGAGAAAATAGAATTTTTTTCTATCTTGACTTGATCATAAAGTTGTTTTGTTCTTGCTCTGTTGGGTTCTGAGTTTTTCAGCTTCTATTTGCTTTCTTGGAGCTACATTTCAAATTATATAATGCTGATGTATATAGTAATCACACTTCAATATATTGGCAGGCATATATATATGTGTTCTTGCTTGGTGGATGTGTGCAACTATGCCATCATGCTATTTCTGTATAAGAATTAACTACTGTTTATAATCTCTCTCTCTCTCTCTCTTTTTCAGTCGCACTGTTGATCAGTTAATTCAAGAGTCGGGTTGCTCTCTGGAGCATCATGCTGCTTCCAAGTTCCGTTCACATGTAATGAATGGAGAATGGGATAAGGTGAGGGCATATGTATATTTTTTATGAAAGAAAATATTGTGATTTATGAATTTGGCTTTTAAAATAAACCATAGGTTTGTCTGTTTGAAAATTTTTATGTATGTCTTTCTGAGTGGCATTTCATAACATTTATATAAGACAATAAAATGCCACTTTGAAAAAATGACTTACTTTATTTTTTGTGGTCCCATATATTTATACTTAAAAGCTACTAAAAACCTCTGAAAACATTTACTACCACAACTTAGTGGCCACTGTATTGAAATTAAAATACTAGTACACTTTAGATATTTGAGAGAGGAGGGTTACTCAAGTGTGAAATTAACCTGATAAAGCAGAAGAAATACGATAGTCCTACCAGATTGGCTATAAAAAGAATTGTTTGATTTGTGAAGGCTTATTTATGGAATCTTGTCTGGTGAATGATGCTAAGAGACATACGGGGTTTCACAAACTATTTATTTATATTTTTAAAAAGGAATAAGGAGAACAAACTCCTAAGACTATCAATGTTCATCCTCTGTCTCTCTGTACTTCCTTATTTATGTCTCTATTACTGATTTGTTGTTTCTTTGCTTGACCTCCTGATTCAATTTCTCAGGCTGAGTTGGACCTCAATGAACTCAAAGGGTTAGTGGACAGCCAACAAGGGTCACTGGTAAGTACAACAAGAAATTTGCTGATTTTATGGGCAGGTAGCAGTAGAGAGTAAGTTGAAGAATTTTGAAATGACAAATCCTTATTTATTTGCTTTATTATAAGCATGTTTTGGTCACCACTAACTTCTTAAGACAAGAACAAATTTTTACTGAAAAAAAAAAAAGACTTTTCTTTACAATTGATTTTTTAATAAATATTGCACAGAAGGCATTTACCTAATGCTTAAACATCTTTTTCAGAAAATGAAGTTTTTAATCTTGGAGCAGAAATACCTTGAATACTTAGAAGATGGAAGTGTACTAGATGCCTTACATGTGCTGAGGAATGAACTCACACCACTTAAATTTAACACAGAACGAGTGCATGAATTGAGCTCGTAAGTACGGGCTGAGCTGATAGTTTACTTATATCTTTGTGTTTGTTATTTGTTATCTTTATAACCTACTGTTATATCACCATCAAAACTACAGCAGTGCTAAACTATACTCGTATAAAAAGTTTTGTATTGCCAAACTGGTGAGCTGTCACAATCTTGATGATCTGGAGAGAATTTAAATGTGAATACATTTTTAGGTGTCTGTGTAACAATTCTGAAAGGTTTATGATTAGTAAGAAACCTGAAGATCTAAGAATTTAAATATGAATAGATGTTTAGGTTTAAGATGTGTAAATATACGTGACTAAAATTTGAGAGAGGTAACATGTATTTATGTTTATTGCTCTTTAGGTTTATGATGTGTAACAACCCTGAAGATCTGAGAGAGATGGCAGATTGGGAGGGGAAGTCACCAGAAGCAAGACAGAAGCTCATGGAAAGGTTACAGTGTAAGTAGAAAGATGCGAGGTGGGAAGGGACAGACTGCCTTGATCTGCCTTAGAATAAACCTGACATTCCTTAAATTTGATAAATTTAGTCTGATTGACAATGATTTGTCATCTGTTTTCGTCCCTAGAATAATGCTGCAAATCTTGAGACTATTCAACAAAAATGCACAAAAATGGAAAAATTTCCTCTTATTTGCAGTAATTCATTAATTTCAAACACATTCCCATTTAATTTTGGCAAAATTTGTCATTTTATTTACTCCCAAAAAACCCGTTATTTAGAAATTTTAGAAATTATATTTTTGCAGGCTTTACTGGTAAAGCATTGGTTTGTAAAATAGGATATAACAGTTTTTGCTTGAAATAAGTGAAATATTTTCCTTTTTATTATTTCCAGCATTCCTGCCCCCAACTGTAATGCTGCCACCACGTCGTCTTCAAACTTTGCTCAACCAAGCTATAGAACTCCAGAAAGAGAACTGTCCATATCACAACACTAAGTATGACAATGATCTGGAAGCAGTCTCCCTACTCATGGATCATATATGTAGCAAGTATGTACCCAGTGTTTATGACAAGTATGCAATAGCCGTCTATGAGTTAAACTTCACATCGCACTAGGTCTCCTTATATTTTTTGAAAAAAGATGCATTTGCCTATTCCCTTGGCAGAGTTTGCACTCTAGGAGTGTGCACTAGTCTTTGTGTTGCTGTTGTGAAATTGAAAAGTTTTGTGATATATGCCATGTATGTTAAATCCCAATCCTTCTATCCAGGGAAGACTTCCCTTGCGCCACATTGCAAATACTAAATGACCATTGTGATGAGGTGTGGTACTGTAAGTTCTCCCCTTGTGGAACAAAACTGGCCACAGGCTCCAAAGATGGAACACTCATCATATGGGACATAAATAAAGTAAGTTGAAGGATAACAGAAGAAATCTAGCATTTGTAATAGGGGGTACTCTGGGATATTGTTTTCTCCAATCCATTCAAAATTGGTGACAAATAAAAAATCATCCACATTTGACCAAAATCAAATTCTATTTAATAGAAAATAGTTTAATTTTTTCCACATTTTCTCTAGTCAAACATTAATGTAATAATATTATGCTTAGTATTGTGCAATGTTTAGTATGCAAGTTAGAGCCCAGCAAAGTATATGGTTAAAGGGATAATAACTCTTTGATGAGATCTATATTTCACAATAAAAACATTGTGAACAACTCATAGAAATATAATATATTCTGCTGTACAACATAAACGGCAGTTATAGCTATTATTCTGATATCTGAGCATGTGACCTCCATTGATGGCTATACTCTGTTATAATCTCTTAAGTGATTATAACAAAAAAACAAACTTTTTAGAAAAAAAAACAGGGACTAATTTTGAATGTAAAAATGGATTCATTAACCATTGGTAAGTATGGGAAAATTGTTGTTTACTCCAGGAAAATTCATTTTTTGGCCAAAACAAAGAGTTATTATCCCTTTAAATATGAGATGCTGGATTGTAAGTGCCAGATATGATATAACTGTTGAGTAGAACACGATGTCTTTTTCATGTACTTGTAACTGACAACCAACTTGAATAACTGGTCTAAAATATTATGCCAGTTGGAGATGTATTGAATTAAATATTTAATATTTCCCTTTTTATGAAACTTTGGCAAGTAATGAGGTGCTATTTACACCTGTGTTCCAGGAAACACACGAATTAAGGCATAGGCGGACATTTGATGGACATGCATATGGTGTGGCCTGTATAGCCTGGAGCCCAGACAGCATGTATATAGTGGCTTGTGGGCCTGAGGACTGCTCTGAACTCTGGCTCTGGAATGTAGAGGTACATATAGCATGGTGCAGTGTAGTGTTGCATAAAGTTAACAGATAGATTTAGTGTCCTTTATGGTATTTCAGTGTTATTATTGCTAACCATTTTATTCTACTTTTCCAAAGACACTTGTTTTTGTCTTTTAAGCATTTTTCTTTTCTTTGATTTTCCTTGAATTATTGGTAAAATCCATTTGGCCATCTTTAAAGTATTTGATTTTTTTTCACAAGAATATATTACATATTTGAACATTCAGTATCAAAAATTGTGTGTCAATATTAATTCTACATATTGTTCGCTAAGCATTGCATAGTATGTAATATCTGTGCATAGTTTCATTTGTTACTCAATATATTGAGTTAATGGGCAATTGACCTTTTACTGTTTGTTTATTTTCAGACAGGAGATTTGCGGGTGAAGATGAGTCAATCCCCAGAAGACAGTTTGACTTGTGCATCATTTCATGCTGATGGGAAGAGGTTTATCACTGGAGGGACAAGAGGCCAGTTTTATCAATGTGTAGGTGGCAGCTTTACCAATACAAGACTGCTCTAAAACTAAATCTTGCACTTAAAAAAAAATTGAAATGACTAACATTTTGCTGATATTGTGTTACATTTGAGGCTTTGGTTTTTAAAAAAGGGCCCACCTTTTACATTACCAAACCTAGCATACATGAAACAGTCTCACATACATATACTCCAATCTGTTCCTTCATTTCTTTTCCAGGATTTAGATGGCAATGTGCTGGACTCCTGGGAGGGGGTCAGGGTGCAGGGCTTACAGTGTCAGAAAGATCACAAAGTAGTCCTAGCTTCAGATACACACCACAGAATTAGAGGATATAACTTTGATGAATTAACAGACTTCCAAGTGTAAGTAACAAATTTAGCTTTGCTGTCCTGTTTTTGATCTTAGATAAGAGACCTATAGTTTTTGTAGGGACGTCTAATCAAATTCTTTGAGAAAATATTGCTACAGTGTGTTCAACTTCATCATTAACCAACAGTTAGTTTCATTTTCATTTATTCGTGCTGTTTGTTTTGTTAAAGAATCCAAGAAGACCATCCTATCATGTCTTTCACAATAGCAGATGATGGACGGAGGACACTTCTTAATGTTGCAACTCAGGTACTGTTATATCTGTATTTTTGTTAATATCTTATCCTGCATCTTGAAGAAATTTTTAAGGTATGAAGACACATTTATTGCAGTGACATCCGGATTAAATGATCTTGAAGTGTTTGATGCAGACAAGAGTAATATAGTTTCTAACCCTATTAGATGAAACTTCAGTATAGTAAAGCATCAATGAAATTTCAGTGACCAGTGTAAATAATTTGGTCTTTTATGTCTATGCAACAGTATTGTAATCTTGTTTTTTCTGAAACAGACTATTACATGTTCTTAAGCCAGTAGCAGCTTAGATTTTGGATCAACATTCTTGCACATCTGTTGCATATGGTATGTTTAAAACAATGCATTTGAATGTGATTTGAATGCTGCAGGGAGTGCATTTATGGGATCTGAAGGACAAATGTTTACTTCGCAAGTTCCAAGGCATAACGCAAGGTTTCTACTCCATCCACTCCTGTTTTGGAGGACTGAATCAAGATTTTATTGCCAGTGGAAGTGAAGGTATGCAACTTGAAAGTTGGGGCACAGAGCAAGCAATTTAATAAGGGAGATTCTAAATGTAAAAAATGTAGCTTTTGACAGACATTTTGTCTTTGCTTTGCTTAAGATTTTATGAATTTAAGATTTCCACATGTTGTGGTTAAAACCGGTGACCAAATGTTTACAGAATTGGAAGTTACTTCAAGGTGGACATTTGTGACAAAGTGGGAAGTTCATTTGGCTTTGTGGTATTTTTGGGGTGGACCTTTTTGAAGTGACTTAACAAAATATAGCAGGCAATTAACAGTTTGAATAGGAAACATTTATTTTAAGCACATAGTTTACTGTTCACTGTACTGGCTTTCAGATCACAAGGATATATCTGTCAAACCAAGCATTTACAAGTTGATTAGGAATCATATGGTGAAAAAAAAAATCTTAAAAGTTACTTTATTTTCTTTTAGATCACAAGGTATATATCTGGCACACCAAACGTGAGGTGCCCATCTGTGTATTAGAAGGTCATACTCGCACAGTGAACTGTGTACATTGGAATCCCAAGTTACCCAGCATGCTGGCCAGTGCATCTGATGATGGAACTGTAAGGATATGGGGGCCACAAAAATATTGTAAGCAAGGTGGGTTGACAAAAACTGGAAGGTTGTATAAAAGATGCGTGTAATCAAAATTGTATTACCATAATAATGCATTCTAGAAATAATGTAAGCAAGATAACTTGATATTAGGTCACATACTGTTCACACCCTAGGTGGATTTCTATTCTTGGAACTGTCCAGTGCTATGGCAGAATATGTATATCATGATATTAGTACCGAGGCAGCACACACTTCAGTATGTTTACATTAATTCTTTTTAGAGGCCAATGGCTGCCAATCTGGTCGCAGCACACCAGTATAGTAGCCAAGAAGAAGCTGTGTTTGTGACTTGGTTATAAATCTATGGATAGCAGGCAACATTTTCAGCCGTGGTATAAAACAGCAAGGTTTTGAAAGTACCAGTGGAAAAAATTGTACTGTTACCAGTTTGGAGTGAAGTACAAGGATGTGGAAAATGACAAAGGAGACTTGTTTGCAGTTTTTGCAAGAAAGTGCGTGCGTGCGTGTGTGTGCTTGTGACCCACTGAACATGTGACACTTGGAATGAGTTTAGAATTCATGTTATATGAATTACGATAGGTGCTGATGTCAATAGAACCTCCCTTCAGGAAAAACAATATTTCAACCTGGTCCAACATGAACAACTTGTATGTGCTAGCCAAGGGTGCATATATAGATGAGGGGAGGGCCTCTGTAAGAATGAAGGGAAACTTGGTAAAAACAAATGGTGGCTTTGTAGAAGCCAGAAGGTGGAAAGAATGGTCTGACCAATTACAGTTTGGTAATTAATTTTAAGAAATGTGAAATTGTACTCTCTGTAGTTTTCAAGAAACTGTTAAGTACCTAGCAATGGCGCAACATGAAATGATAGTTGGATGAAAACATATTGGTTATTTGTGTGCATTTGGAGGATCTCCCTCAAGATGCTGTAGAACTTTTTAATATGAAGTGATAGGTAAACTGCATAGATTTTAAGGCATATAGACATGTTATACTCCAACATGTATCAGAACTCTGCTTATTTTATTTTGATTGAAAATAAAAGAAAATTATTTAGCAAGACGGAATGCAATCAATTTCCTCTCTTATTTATTGGTGAAAAAATACATTTTTTTCATAAACAATGATGTTACTTTCATATTTTTTCAACTTTCTCTGATTGTGTTTGAAAATTCTGGTGATATTTCACTTTTCTTAGCTGTAACTTGCGATTTTTCATGTACTATTGCTTATTAAGTTTGTTTGCCACCAGACATGCCACCTGTATCAATGTATTTACCTCTTTGTTTATTAGTTCAATTTTAATCTGATTTATTATAAATATGTGCATTTTTTTAAATAATATTAATTGTAATATTTTATTAAACCAAAATTGCACTTATTGTCTGATGGAAAGAATTGGCATTTTACTAATGTCAAATGGTTCAATATTTATTTGAAATAATTCTGAATGATTTACTGTAAGAAATGAGACAGAAAAAGCAAGTAGTGTAACAGTTATGTTTATTTTTCTGTACTTACAATGATAGAGGATAAAATGATTAAGAGAATGTGACAGTGATTATTTTCAGCCAAATGCATTACTTTCAATGTTATTAATAGTATTATATTTAAATGCAGTGCTAACTGAATCCCCCCCCTCCCCCAAGTAATAGAATGACTGTTCAATGGTACTAATAGTTGGCAAGTTTTACTGTCCTGTGTTTGTAAAAAATAGGCATAAAATAATAAAGAAATAGAACTAGACATGCTTAGAATTATTACAAAGATGCCAATTCAACAGTTTTCATACTATGCCAACTTAGATCAGCATAAAGGAGCCTTGGATGTTGAATGTCATGGCCATGTCACAGAGGAATATATTTACAATCTCTACTTTCGAAGCAAGTGCATTTCTTAAACTGAGTGAAGATCCTTATATACACTAAGTTTGTAGTCTGATATGTGATTTATTGGCCTAAAATAAGAAATATGCCAACATGAGTAAATTCAAGAGGTCGAATAGGAAGCAGTTGCCTAGTTTCTCCTTATGCATCATCTTTTATTTTCAAATACTGATTGCATGGTTTCAGGTTTTGTCATTTTAGGTAGGGTTGTCCATTTGTAGTCATACATTTCTCTAGTCTTTTATAATGTGTGATTGAAAAACAGTCTTACCACCTAAAATCTTTTATATTGTACGGTACATTTAGAACATAGTTTATCAGGAATTGATAAAAATCAAGAGTTGTATAACCAAAAAAGATTTGATTCTTGTGATTGCTAAAAGCATAATTTTGTCTTTAAAATAAGTGAAAATGCTTTTGTTATCAAATTTTAAATTGGCTTCATTATGAGTCTTCACAAAACCTGTATATCCAGACAAAGAAATAAAATTCTTCTAATTAGTTAGTTTTGTTGGATGTGAACCTCGGACCTGTGTGAAAACAATTACTATATTACTCTTTCATATTTTATTCAGTTTAAATAGCATAAATAGCTCCAACAAAATGGCCTAGCACCAACCATATGAGCAATTTTACCGAATGTTAGCAGTGAAAAAAGTTTGTTACATGATGCTATTTGCAGCACAACTGTAGGAAGGCATGAACTAATTAAATCAATTGCTCCCTCATTAAATGATGTCATGTTAAGAAATGATAATACGTATTTGTGATAGTCAACCTTGTCAATATTAAAATTTACACAATGCCCAATTTTCCTAGTGCACTTTTTATATTTTTCAAAGGTCTAATGATGTTCATTGTTCTTGAACCCACTTAGTGAACACCTTTCACATAGGGTCACGAGGAATGTAAATTATTACGCAGTAATGTGTCCTAGACATTGCAATAAGAAGTACAAATTTACATAATATATATGTTCATCAAAAGCAAAGATTTTAGGACATTTGCACTGGGATTTTAACAAGTTATTTTTATTGCTTAAACGGATAATAACTTTGTTCTGGCCAAAAAATTAATTTTCCTGGAGTAAACAACAATTTTTCCATACTTACCGATGGTTACTGAATCCATTTTTACATTCAAAAGTAGTCCTTTTTTTTCTAAAAAGTTTGTTTTTTTTGTTATAATCTCTTAAGAGATTATAACAGAGTATAGCCATCAATGGAGGTCATGTGGTCTAAAGACAGGCTCGGATATCAGAATATTAGCTATAACTCATTTTTGTGGAAAAACAATATATTAAATTTTTATGAGTTGTTCACAATGTTTTTGTTGTGAAGTATAGATCTCATACGTAGAGTTATTATCCCTTTAAGTACATCTACAGTTGTGCAACACCTTAGATACCACTCTTGCAAGAAAAAAAGCCATAAAACTGGTTAAAAATCAACTTCACAATCTAGGTATGTTCTGCATGACACCCAACTGTCTAGTCAAAGCCTGATTTGGTTTGGTGCACACAAAACCAAATATCTGCTAAATGTTACACCCAAAATCAAAACAAATGAAAAGAAAAAGTGATATTTGAAAAATTATTCAAACAATTGTTTATGCAGAAAGTGTCTGGCTTGGCTAAAGTGCCTAATTTGTGGATCATACTTATGTTTCAGCTAATACTTTGTACTTTTCCTACATATATGAAGAGGGTTTATACCCTTTTTCTCTGTCATACAAAATGAAAATGATCCCTTATCTCATTAAATAAAGAGGCATAAGTATTAGACTGAATCACAATTTTAAGTCACATGTTTAAACCCCTGGCACAATAAGAAAGAAAACCTGTAAAATGCTGACATGGTTTTAGATGTACATATGTAAATAAATGAAATGCAATAGTTATCAAGCCAAGGTAAACAGCATGTCATGCCACTCTAGCAAGTGCAAAGAGTACCCCAATATGGTCACAGAAAATCTATGACTACCAGTAACAGTTTTTGAGCAAGTTACCATTGGTTTACTTCAAATTTCTGATTTACTCTAATTAAAATTGTCCAGCTACACATATAGATAAAATTTTGTCCTGAAGTGAACCGAGATTAATTAAAAATGTTATTGATAAGTAGATAACTGGCTTCTTCATAAACAATAACAAATATATTGTGCTCTCTTTGGCCACACTGCATATTGACATGGCCTCTTTTAAAACAGGATAAAAAAGGCAATGAGTTTGCTTTTGCACTTATGCCACTCCAAACTGTTTGAAGTCCCACCTGGCAACCATCTCACTATATAAATATGATCCATACAAGATGAAATAAAAAACAATTTTAAAAACAATGCATGGTGACTAGACATAATTTCAAAATCCACCAAAAAAAAAAAAAAAAAAAAAAACTAGTCTTTTGCCCTTTATTGTGCTTAAAGCAGAACCTGAAGCTGAATGCCCCTCAAATAAGTATGTGGGGGAAAAAGTTGCAACAACCAGTTATGATCATCAGGATATTAAATTAACATTTCAGAATTCTTGGCAATCTTGCTGCTCTTATCTTTGAATCCTTTAATAGCCAGAGGAGCCTGATACCAGATAAAGTCATCATCCCCTCCTCCCTCCATCCTGTCTGTCAACATAGGTGTCATGTCAGACTCGCTGGATTTGCTAAAGCGGTTTTCACCTCCAAAGCCGCTATCATTCTGCCCTGGTGAGAAGTTCTCATATGCTGAGGTATTCAGCTGCTCTGTGGAAGATGAATCAAGTGGGGCAATGCCTGACAAATCAAAACTTGTTTCACTTCCTCGACTAAGCTCCTCTTCTATTGCACAGGAGGCACTGACCAAGTTCATCACAACCTGTCGCCCTCTGGTGGAAAGTTTGAAGTTCAATTTTGGCTGAAACCACTCCACAGTTCCATCCAACTTTCTAGGAGCCTTAATCAGCACAAAGGCACTGGTGGGTGACATCAGTTTTAAGTCTGACATAAAATCCTTTTGCACCAGCCTGCGAAACATGGTCCTGACACCAGTTTTGAGACTTAGGGTATCTCCTGTGCTGTTCTCAGAGGGAAGGTTGAAAGTGTATGTCTCTTTAGGACTAACAGGTGTGGCACCTAGAACTAAAACAACCTGGGGTATGTGAGACATTTGAGAAAATATTTTTTCCAAATTATTGAACATCTCCTCTGCTGTTTCTATGCCTTGTCTGACTTTGTTGTGGTGAACAGCTCCCAGGCCTCTCTGTTTTGATGGACCCTACAATAAACCAATACAGAATTCATTGGTCATTCATGTGAAAATCGTTAGTGTTATACTGACAACGACAAAAATGGTATTTAATTATATTTCATGTTCTATGTTAAAATGCAGTGTTACATTAAAATCATATTTGCCTTAAAGTGATTTTGATTTAAAAATTAACTAATGTGCTAGGAGTAAGGTTAAGTCATAAACCATTCTTTCCCCTATTAAATTATTCTCATTAACAGGAATATTTTGGCTTCAATTTATAAAATGCCTTCCACGCGTGATTTCGCATGACCCCCAGTCTTGATTTCCCTGAGCTCACTGTGTAGGTATGTGAAGAATGCATCTGTAATTCGAATACTGACCTCCTTCTCCTGCTGCCTGTGAAAATGCTGTTTAACTTGCTCGTAGGACATCGGAAACTGTTGTCGTTGATACAAAACGTGTTTAATCAGTTCAGCCACCAGTTTCGCACAAACAACCGGTGCAAATACTCCATCAAACTCGATGTCGCAGCTGATAGGATCGTGCTTCTTGTTAGCACTCTTTTTTCGCGGACACAACCCCGCCATCGCAAACGAATCGTCTTTGAGTCTGGGCTGTCTTGGAACAAGTGCCCTCTGTACCCTAATTTTTATAAACTTCAAAAACTGGAGAGCCCTAGTAAAAGCGAAGTGAAAAAACTAAAGTTTGAATGCTATTTTCATAGAATTGACTGAAGTAATATGCAATATCCGGCACATAATTTAATTTTTGTAAATATTTAATTGTACACAAGCACAAGAAATCGAAGTATTAAGCGTGATTTAATGTTACGGATTGTGGGAAAATTGCTATTCGTGACGTCATGAACCACAATGGCGCCTTTCTTGTGGTGCACAACAGCAAAGGCAGAATCGTATTTTAAAAGACAATTTATTCAATAGAATTTTTAATACCCTAACATCGAAACGTGAAAAGAAATGCTCACAAAATGTGCGACATTTGTACGGATATGCTGGCTCTTCTCAATAGCCGTAAGTATCAATGACGATGCGAGAGTAGAAAACACGGTCGATCAACTATCTGGAAAGAAATGCGATCGCGCCGGTAGTAGTACAGTGTGTGAGATATTCTTTTTTTCTAGGAAAAAACAATTTATTTGCATATTTTATAAGATGTTTGGTCTTACCGAATATGTAACAAATTTTCTGTGATGTCCCTTGCGCTTCCCAAAATACTTTGAGGACCCCAGTTACAAGTAAATAGTAGAGTTGTTTGAATGTGATGGCACGCGCAGCATACAATCAATTGAAAAACTACTGTTACTATAAACAAATGCTTGTTACCACCAGTTTAAAGGTTGAATAGAAATATCATTGCTTGAAAATAAAAAAGGAATATTTTGCAGATGACGAGAAGGTGCAGTCTGGAGAAGGCTTACAGTTGACTAAAAGTGATGTTATAGCTGTTATATTTTTTGTTCAAGCATGGCCACAGAGGTATGTAAAGCTATCTTCTTCATGCCACACCTCTATTTTAAGTATACAACTTTGGTAAAACTTTGACTACAGTTTGAAATATTTGTTAAAACCAAAGTTGATAGGGAAGATTTATGATCTATTAATATATGTTTATACTTTCTGTGTAAATAATTTCACATTTGGGTTTGTTTATATTTAAGACTTGGTGACAGACAATAAGTATGTAAATTTTGAGGTTGAACTGAAATGTTTTAATTTTTATCTTTTTGATTAGGCAATGCACATGCTGTTTTAAAGAATTAAAGAATTTTGAAAGACTCAACAACGTAGTCCAAGTAATTCTAAACCTTGCTATCAAGTACATTCAAACATTACCTGAAGACTACTTAAAAGAACAAGAAAGAGAAAAAGAGAAAGAGGCACAGAACAGTGAAGGAGATGGAGGTGCAAACACAGAGGAAAAGCCCAAAAATGAATCCACTATTTCTGTTGAGACTGGTAACCAAGATGATCCTAACATAAACATTTCTGAAGATGAAGAAGATAAAAAAGTTGACAAAACAAGAAATGATGACAAAAAAGTAGAACAAACAGATGCATCTCAAGAAAAGAAAAAAGAGAAAGTGGAAGAGGAAAGGGAAGGAAAATCTATATCTGAAAACGATGCTAAGGATAAACTAGAACAGGAAGAAGATGAAACAAAACAGGTTCAAGAGCTTGAGTATTGGACTACTGAGGATAAGGGAGGTCTTCTCCAGGTTGTGGCCAGAATCTTCCTGATGAACTTTCCACTGTACATGGCCTATAAGCATACATTTCACACTTCCCTGGAGGTAAATCAAAAAGTATTGTTGAGGATTAACAGAAATATGTGAGAGCTCAATGTGGTGTTGAACTGGAAAATATTGAACTCGTGACATTTTTAAAAAGTGAAAATGATTGTTGCCATAAATTCTCATTATTTTTGATTTCATTGAATCGTATGTATCACTTGTCATGTCTCATACCTTTCTGCCGTATAACCCAGTATATCTTTTTCAGGAGTTATCTCAGCAAGAAGCGAATGCACTAAATAATTATTGTGAACTATCGGTAAGAAGNCCCTAATTTTTATAAACTTCAAAAACTGGAGAGCCCTAGTAAAAGCGAAGTGAAAAAACTATAGTTTGAATGCTATTTTCATAGAATTGACTGAAGTAATATGCAATATCCGGCACATAATTTCATTTTTGTAAATATTTAATTGTACACAAGCACAAGAAATCGAAGTATTAAGCGTGATTTAATGTTACGGATTGTGGGAAAATTGCTATTCGTGACGTCATGAACCACAATGGCGCCTTTCTTGTGGTGCACAACAGCAAAGGCAGAATCGTATTTTAAAAGACAATTTATTCAATAGAATTTTTAATACCCTAACATCGAAACGTGAAAAGAAATGCTCACAAAATGTGCGACATTTGTACGGATATGCTGGCTCTTCTCAATAGCCGTAAGTATCAATGACGATGCGAGAGTAGAAAACACGGTCGATCAACTATCTGGAAAGAAATGCGATCGCGCCGGTAGTAGTACAGTGTGTGAGATATTCTTTTTTCTAGGAAAAAACAATTTATTTGCATATTTTGTAAGATGTTTGGTCTTACCGAATATGTAACAAATTTTCTGTGATGTCCCTTGCGCTTCCCAAAATACTTTGAGGACCCCAGTTACAAGTAAATAGTAGAGTTGTTTGAATGTGATGGCACGCGCAGCATACAATCAATTGAAAAACTACTGTTACTATAAACAAATGCTTGTTACCACCAGTTTAAAGGTTGAATAGAAATATCATTGCTTGAAAGTAAAAAAGGAATATTTTGCAGATGACGAGAAGGTGCAGTCTGGAGAAGGCTTACAGTTGACTAAAAGTGATGTTATAGCTGTTATATTTTTTGTTCAAGCATGGCCACAGAGGTATGTAAAGCTATCTTCTTCATGCCACACCTCTATTTTAAGTATACAACTTTGGTAAAACTTTGACTACAGTTTGAAATATTTGTTAAAACCAAAGTTGATAGGGAAGATTTATGATCTATTAATATATGTTTATACTTTCTGTGTAAATAATTTCACATTTGGGTTTGTTTATATTTAAGACTTGGTGACAGACAATAAGTATGTAAATTTTGAGGTTGAACTGAAATGTTTTAATTTTTATCTTTTTGATTAGGCAATGCACATGCTGTTTTAAAGAATTAAAGAATTTTGAAAGACTCAACAACGTAGTCCAAGTAATTCTAAACCTTGCTATCAAGTACATTCAAACATTACCTGAAGACTACTTAAAAGAACAAGAAAGAGAAAAAGAGAAAGAGGCACAGAACAGTGAAGGAGATGGAGGTGCAAACACAGAGGAAAAGACCAAAAATGAATCCACTATTTCTGTTGAGACTGGTAACCAAGATGATCCTAACATAAACATTTCTGAAGATGAAGAAGATAAAAAAGTTGACAAAACAAGAAATGATGACAAAAAAGTAGAACAAACAGATGCATCTCAAGAAAAGAAAAAAGAGAAAGTGGAAGAGGAAAGGGAAGGAAAATCTATATCTGAAAACGATGCTAAGGATAAACTAGAACAGGAAGAAGATGAAACAAAACAGGTTCAAGAGCTTGAGTATTGGACTACTGAGGATAAGGGAGGTCTTCTCCAGGTTGTGGCCAGAATCTTCCTGATGAACTTTCCACTGTACATGGCCTATAAGCATACATTTCACACTTCCCTGGAGGTAAATCAAAAAGTATTGTTGAGGATTAACAGAAATATGTGAGAGCTCAATGTGGTGTTGAACTGGAAAATATTGAACTCGTGACATTTTTAAAAAGTGAAAATGATTGTTGCCATAAATTCTCATTATATTTGATTTCATTGAATCGTATGTATCACTTGTCATGTCTCATACCTTTCTGCCGTATAACCCAGTATATCTTTTTCAGGAGTTATCTCAGCAAGAAGCGAATGCACTAAATAATTATTGTGAACTATCGGTAAGAAGGACTTTACCAAACTGCAGACATTAAAAGAATTACCAAGTACCATATTAATTAAGGCAGCTTTTGAAAATGACAGTTTTATTCCTATTTATGCAAATAAAGACAGGATTGTTTTTTAGTCCATGTTTGACTTGTTTAAAGCTAGATGTTCAGTTAGATATTCGGGTAAAAATAATATCATTATCAAAACACTTTTTAGAACTCTCTGTGTGTGTATCTTATGTTCCGCCTGGTTTTGATACCCCCCCCACATGATACAACCCTCATTCTTATTCTGATTTTCATATTGTAGGACCCAGAGGTTCCAGTGTTCCTGTTGAGAAATGTTTGTTTCTTCTGTGATAGCAATGGCCCTCAGTCTATGCTACATTGCTTTGAGAAGGCCAAACCAGACAACCTGCCCCTCCCTCTTGTGCATACTCTGATTACTATTGTGTCCAATGTAAGTAGGGCTCTCTCTAGACTATCATTATCAAATGTACTCAAATGCTATACTATATAATATGGCCAAAGAAAATATATAATTTTATTTTGGATTAACAAATGGTTTAGTTCAAAATTTTTATTAGGCTAAAATTAAATGGCAAAATTGTTTTTGTACAGAGTACAGGATGACATAGAAAACACATGCTTCACACAAAAGAATGACAAATGGATTTCATAAATGAAAATGTCAATATATAAATATATTCTAATTTAATTTATACTTTTTTTAACTTTCTGTATAGAGTGGTTGTATACAATATTTAATTAACTTATCTAAATTATGTTAAGCAATAATTGGATATTAAATTGTCTGATGTCTGTTCATTACAGCTGAGGTTGTGGATGAACATAGGGACTGTGATGCAGCAGATTGTTCCCCTCAGAACACATGTGATAAGGTGAGAGTAGGTTTGTTAAACATGTTTGCATTCTTTTACTACTTACATTTCTATAATCACACTGATGACATTATGATTTTATTTTGATTCTCTGACACTTTTCTATCATCAAAACTACATAGGTCTTTCATGTCGTGTGAAAACTCTTAGACACATGCGCACACTGCCCGTACATTCATGGGCTCTATGCGCCACATTGCTTACACTATTCATATCCAACAGGTATATGTGCCAACTCTCTGACAAGGAGCTGCGTGTTGCTGGCACCCGCAGCCTCACTGAGCTCATCTGGTCAGCACTGAAGGAACCCATTGATGCCAATATGCTGTTTGACAAAGAAGGCCTGGAGCTGGCCTTCAAATACTTCACTTGTACCACTCTGACCATAAGGCTGGCTGGTATAGCACAGGTTAATGTAAGTGATGTAGTATGTCTTATAACTATTATTTTGCTTAGTTTGCTGGTAAATGTGTGGCATCTGATTGAATAGTCTAAATCTAAAAGATACTGCTCCTGTGCAGAAAGCAACTTAAACTGTTCACTATCGAACATCGCTTAATAGAGACCATGAAATCAATTTCTATATTATTTATTAATGCTTAGTCTTTATCTAAAAGTCTTTTTTTCACATAGAACAATTGTTTTGTTAAGTTTTTTTGTTTTAAGAGGAAATATTGAATAATACATCTGGGATCTGATTGATTTTTCGTGTAAAGCAATAAAACTTTTTTTCTGTGTGTTAAGAAAATTATTGATATAAGATGGTACTTCAACAAAAATATAATAAATTAATATCTTATCTTTCAGAATCAGATTAATATGTACAATGACATAGTAAGCAGCAATGAGTCATTCCTGGAGGCAGAACACGTAGGCTCTCAGATTGCTAACTGGTTGATAGAAAAAAAGATCATTGAACATATTTTTGGACCAAACCTGCATGTTGAGGTAATTGTGATCTGTGGAAGACTATCAATGTTTGTTTTTTTATAGCTCACTGCATGGATTTGGCATTTATTTATTTATTTATTTATTTATTTATTTATTTATTTATTTATTTATTTATTTACTTATTTATTTATTTTGAAATCTTGAAATTTTAAAGTCAATTAAGTGTTTTATTAGGGGATAAAATGAGACCAAAATAATAATAAAAACGAACTTTTGTAGGGCTACTGTATTATTGCTATTTTACAGCCTGTTGTGTATTTTCTTGACTTTATAGATTATCAAGCAGAGTCAGATCATCCTGAATTTCCTTGCAATAGAGGGAAGAGTGACAGCAGAGCATTTAGACTGTATTTGGGCAGCAGCACAGGTAAGGGACTTCATGAGAATAACAGCTATATTTTCTTTTGAATTTTTTAATGGCAACTAGTTTGCTGTTTCATAAAATTATTTGTGCTTATTTGACTATAGTTTAAAAGGTAATTGTTGATATTTGTAACTTGACACTGCAAGAACATTAGTTTAAAATTTAAATGTGTACATATTTATATTAACTGCACTCTTAAAGACTAAATGATTGTGTAAATTTTTGAATTTTAGCTGAAGCATTGTAGCAAGCAGGTCTATGACACACTCATTGTGCTGATCAAGAACCTAGAGGCTCAACCAGTGCAGCATCTTCTAAGACTGGTTTCCAACCTGGAACCCTCTGCCCACACTGAACAGGCAAGTACTTCTGTGTGCCTTCAGCCAGCACATGGTTACATCACAATGTCATGCTAAATGACATGTGCTGTGCAACACCTAACACAATGTCATGCCTAACAAAGTTTTGTACCCATTTCCACATCTTCACTGTTCCGCTTTACACAGTGTCATGCCCACTGTTACATTTGCACTGTGACACCTAACAAACTTATAATTCTAAATCTTTGAAACTCCTTATATTAGACTTAAACATTCACTGTTTTACCACATTTTAACCATTACAGATGTACATGCAGTCTCACTCTTATCCCTAATTCTTTCCAGATTTATTGCAGCAATTATTTCCATTTTCATCCTTGTGTTCAAGACTTGATATATATTGATTTATGAACTATTTTAGACCCTGTTCCTGGCCTCTGCTCTGATCAAATGTCTCTGGACCACAGCCATGAGCCAGACTGTCCACCCAGTACAAGCTGTGTATGATAGACCTGGCTACAGCACTCCTGTCAGAGAGGAGGAGGAGGAGGAAGAAGAACAAGGTATATAAATGTGTTTTTTTGTGTTGGTATTTGTATGTATGTATGTATGTATGTATGTATGTATGTATGTATGTATGTATGTATGTATGTGTGTATGTGCATGCGTGGGAGATTGTGTGTGTGTGTGCATGCATACCAGTATTGTTTGTTCAAATGTTTGTTTGTGCATGTGCATGAAACAGTTGGATATTATGCTTGTAGTAAGAGGGAAAGGACTTAATTTTTTGTTTTAAACAAAAATTAAAATGTGATATAAATGTTCATGTAATATTATTTGGTTAGTGCAAGATCTTAATAATATCTATTCCATGAAACAGTTCAACAGATGTGTAGCTATTAATTGAAATGACATTACTTCCATCAAGTACCTGTTTGTAATGAAGATGATTTCCTATAAGTTATCAGAATTAATAGCAAAACAAACATTTTTCTAAACCTGCATGGTTTTAGCCTTAAGAAAAGTCACATGCTGGCTGTAATCTGGCATAATTATCAGAATTAATATAGTTATACATTATCAGAGTTAATAGTAAAGCATTTTCCCCAAACTTACATGCTTTTAGCAATTAGAAAAAAATGCAGGCTGTAATCTGGCATAATTATTGTTAATTTATTGTTGTTAATTTGTTTTCAGGTGTGTTGGACACCAAGGCAGGTGGTGGAAGAGGGACTGGTTCCAAAGATGTGTCCCCCACTGGGAGCAATGCCAGTGGCAGCGGAAGGGGGAAGAAAAGAAAAGTACAGGTGAATATTTGTTATACACAATAAGCAGTGACAGGCCATGGCAAAGTGGTAAATATTTTGAAGTGGAAATTGCAAATGAATAAAGGAAATCTATTTATCCAGTTAGGTGCTCCAATTATCCAATTATGAACAAAGCTTCCATTCTATGTTCCGAGCATTGTAACCCGTTTGAATTGAGATCATGCAAAAATCCAATTACTATCATCTGAATTATGCAGATGTGTAACCACTTTGCTGTAAGTCTGTTTATAAATATGGAAATTTGATGCACAAATACGATTAACTTGTAAAATCTACTTAAAGTAACAACAGAAGAATAAAATAATAATAAGTTCAGAAACTGTAAATGAAGTTGATATGAAATTGTATTGCAGGGAAACGAGCCCATCTTTCAAATTTCTGTCTGTACTAGTAGCAAGTTGCTGCCATTTGGTTTTGCTCACAACTTCTTTAACATTTTATCACCAGTCAAGATCATTTCTTCTTACACTAACACCTTGTAAAAGTTGCTTCTGGAGTCTCAGGTTGTTGTCTTTGTTCATCATGACAGGCAGTTGAGGATGACAGCGACCAGCCAACAGATGGCGCTAGTAGTCACAAAGCTGGTCAAGAAAGGCACCACACCCCAGAAGCTGACACCAGCAGCCTGTGTGCCAACAGTGATTTGAGCAGTATCAGTGAGGAGAGCCTGCCCACAGATGATGAGCATCATCATGAGGAGGGAGCTGGGCATAAACGACCCAGATGCGGAGTGAAACCAGTCTTTAAACCTGGTCGTCGTGCGTGCAAACATGGTCATCACAGAAGGGAGAGTAATAGTGAGGAGGAGGAGGAAGAGGAGGAAACAAGCGAGGGAGAACATATATGTGGTGAAGATGATGAGGTTGAAGATCCTCATCTTTCACATCTGCATCGGCATCACCACCACCACCATCACCACCATCATCATCACCAACATCATGAGCATGAACAAAGCTCTGGTGCTATAAAACAGCATCGCTATGGAAAACCCAGCCATGATAGGTGCAAAGGACACAAGGCCAGGTTTTCATCAGATGAGGATGAAGAGGAGGAAGAATATTTAAATTCTGATGAGGAAGCTCTGGTGGAGCAGGTCAAGTTGGTCAGTATGGGTCATTTATGTAAAGGGCGTGGCATGCACAGGTCTCAGAGTGACCAGGAGAGCACTGAGATCAGCAGTGATGAATACAGTGATGATGATGAGCTGTTGGAGGAGGCGTGTGAAATTGCACGTGTCAGGCGGGAAAGACTATTTCGAGAACGATGCAAGAAAGCATTACATAAACGAGCTCAGAAAATAACCCACAAGGCTAAAATCACCAAACAGCGAGCTCAAAAGAAACAAAACTTGAAAAATATCAATGGTATCAAAAAGAGCAAAAATACAGATGGCAGCAAAGAAACTGCCAGCTCCAAAAAGATAACTGTGCAAAAGGAAAAAGATGAAAGCAAAACTACGAAAAAGAGCCCTACTTCTCTTCCTTCAAGGAAACAGAAAAAGAACAATAGAAAAACAACCAAGAAGGAATCTGGTGCTAGCGCTCATCGTTTAGAGGATTTGAAGAAGCCCTTAAATTCAGTGAGTGGGTTTGCCCTACCCCCATACTGGGTGGGTTGGGGGTGGGATGGAGCTAGTAGTACTAGTGCTTAGTAGTTGACTGTTTCATACTCTGTATGGGGAAGTTTAATGTCACTTTATTAACTTCATCATTTAACTGAGCAATTTGTTACTCTTTTTTTCACATTAAAACTTTTTCTCTTTGGAGTCATTAAATTATTACATGGTGTGAATTAACTTTAAAATTTATCTGTTAGATTTGCATTGTCTCACACATTCATCTTTTTGGCAATGATTTCAATTTTTTTTGGGTAGCAAGAATATATATCTTCCATTAACACCCCATACAGGGCCATAGAAGCTCTTTTATTTTGTGTTTATCTCAAACTTAACGCTTATTAGCAAGCATATGGTGTTGACTGCTTCGTTGATTATTGACAGACTGAAAACTAGCATTTTTTTCTGAAAGAGAAGAAACAAATGAGAAACATAGAAGGACATATTGGACAAGCATAGAAGATAAGTATTTAAAAGAAGGAGAAGTGAAAAGGGGGTTATTAAAAAGACAAATTACCGTGGGAAAAAAGCAATAAGTAATCAAAAATGAAGGAATTATCTTGTTATTTAAGGAGAAGCGCAGCCTTAGTGAGTCTGATGTAATGGTCAGTAGTAAACTGGCCAGAGAAACAGACCAGGAGGTGCTGCCCCCTGTCCAGTCCAGCGTGGACAGTGGAAGTGTGCGGACAGAAGTTTATGATTGCTCACATATATTGCCAGGCCGAGTACAGAGGACACAGAGGTGAGATCGTAGATAGAGAATATTGGAGAGCTTCTTGGCATGGTCATATGTGTGCTTATATTCAGGTTTTATTGTGTTTGTGAGCGTGCGTGCGCGTGTGAGAGAGAGAGAGAGAGAGAGAGAGAGATTAAAATTTTAGAATTAAAATTTTACCATGCCCTCATTTTCCTTTGCAAAGTTTATGCAAGTAGATATTTATCCCATTATTCTAGAGAATGCACTTTGGATAGAGGATATTAAACCCGTTTCATTATTCTTGCAAGATTAGCATTATTAGGTCAAACATTAGAAATTTGGCTGGTACTGAATGAATGCTTGCCTGCTACCAGTTAGTATTGAAATTTTTCTGTGTTTTCTAGTAGTGATTACCTAGAAGACATCCTCAGTCCAGATGAAGGCAGTTGTAATAGCTCCAGAATGAGCACCAAATCAGATAAAAACATGGCTGACTTTGATGGTGAAGAGATGATGAGTGAAGAAGAGCTGGCACACATCAATGCCGCAGCTTCCATCAACAGCCACCAGCTCCAGCAACATTTGGCCAGCATGGCTGCAATATATCCTGGCAATTTACAGCATAGTGAGTATACATGGCTGCTATATATCCTGGTAATTTACAGCATAGTCAGTATACAGGAGAGTGAGAGTGAAAGGAGCAAGATACTACATATCAGCAGCATAGTATGTAAAAAAAAAAAAAGGGGTAAAGGGACATGGGAAGAGAAAATGTAAACCATAATACTGTTTTTAGCCAAATTTGGCAAAACAAAAAAAAAAAAAAAAAAATTACATCGTTAAGAGTTTTGTCCAAAAGTGGCTCAAGACTCTTTATGTAAACTTATAAAAGAGACCTGACTTTTTGTGATATACATTTCTACATCATCATAGATGTAATTCCTCAAAGAGAAGGCATCCATGGGCCAGAAGACAGAGCTCGCCTTTGTAACAGCTTCTCGTTGGAGGACGTGTGTGAACCTGGAAATACTTTGTTATGGGATCTTGTGCAAGATGAGGATGTGGTGAGTAATAATTAATCTTAATCATTTTATTGTGAAACTTTGTACAAAGGTGTGGTGAATAAGAGTTGCATTTTAAAGTTAGTATGCTGGTGAGGTTATGTATTATATTTGGGATATTATACAAGGCAATTTTCAATTTTTATACATTTTTACAATATTTTTGTTTTTTTCTATAAAGAATTTACATGCTTGGAATGATCTTTTTGATATGTTCAGCCTGGCTTTTGGGATGCCCAGAAGAGATGTGTATGCCTCTGATCCCATACCATATTGTATTGATTTTTGTGTACAATCTTTTTAGCATTTGTTACCTGAGGGTCTGGCCTTGGAGGCAGAGAAAGCCCTGTGTACACTGGTGTGCTTTGCCACAGACAGGAGAATTAGGATGAAGTTCATTGAAGCCTGCATCAATAATGTGGCAAGACACAGGTGAGATAGAGATAATTGTGGTCAGAAGTGGGATTTAGAAGAAGTAAACACTGACAGACACTTTCTCTTTAGAGTACTGCCATAATGCTTTTATTAAAGGAGAAAAAGAAAAAAAAGTTTTCTAAGATTATAAATTTATTCTGTAATTTTTGAAGAGTGCTCACTTTTGGTTGTAAAACATTGCATGCTCTCCATGATATATATATCGTAAGCACAAATATTGATAGTTGTAAAAGATTTCTACGCGTAGCACATACGTTTGTCTTGCACTTAACTTAAAAAAGCACCGGTTTCAATATAGTTTTAAGAATTTAAATTAAAATTGAAAAAAAAAATCGAGACTTTAGTAAATTAATATATTTATCTATATTACAGATCAGTTGTTGTCTCCTTGCGACTGTTGCCAAAGATTTTTGCATCATTCCAGCAATATAGGAGTGGTATAGACACACACTCTGTTGCAATGTAAGTAGAGAAAGGCATAAAAAAAACAAGTTTCATATTTCAAAGATAGTTTTTAACACAATTTAAAGGAATTGACCAACTGGATTTGGCATATGTTATGTTTAATGTCAATATTGCCAAAATTAGATAAGTTGTTTATTGATTTTTTCTCATGGCTTTATTTGACATCTGAATTAGTGTTGCTCAACTAAGATAAAATGTACTTGGTTTTTAGGTGGGCTGAAAGAGAACTTCATATGATGAAGCATTTCTTTAGTAATTTGATGTACATAACCAACCGTGCCAAGAAAGGAAACTTGCCCTCAAATGCTATGTAAGACTGTGATTTCTCAATACATTTCTTAATGTTAAGTTTGAATGATTCATATAAATAGAAACATACAACCGTCTGTTGAAAAGATCAAACAAATTTGTCAGATTTAAACGTAGAAATAGGGAGATTTTTTTCACAAAGATCCAAGATTTTAAGAAACTAAGTCTTAAGTCTTTATTTGGCAAAAGTGAAATGCTAAGCATGATTAAATTGAATTTAACTTGAACATTTAATGGATTCTTCCCCAGGTACTGCTACAGAGAGGAAATCCAGGTGCGCCTGCAATTTCTCACCTGTGTGTTTTCTACAATGGGAACACCAGAGTCCTTCAGTAAGTTTTTTAAGGGGTAGTATAACCATTTGATTTTTTTTCACCAAGATTTGTCATTTATGTGATGAATGCTAGTTCTTTTTAGGCTCAAAATTGTTAAAATTTAAATTAAGTTAAAAGTTAAGAACAACATAAATATTAGGGCATTTTAGTTAATGCAGAAGCATAAAAGTTTCTTATTCATTTATTCATTCAAGTATTTACTTGCTGATGTACGTTTTTTGTCACCCGGAATAAAGACAATAAATCATGGAATCGTGATTAAAAGAAGGAGATTGATAAGTAAATAATAAAAAGTAACTAATAATTATTCATTGCATAACAAATGAAAAAATTATCTGAAGGTAACTGTATATTATTGTACCACCAGCGTTAGCGCTGGCGGTACACATGGTTTTAGTCCCGTCCGGATCGTTCCGCCGGCTCCTGCGGCTCCGCCGGTTCCGCCGGCTTCGCCGGCTCCGCCGGACGGCTACCGTTACCGCTTCTCCTCCTAGACGGTAAGGGCCTCCGTACCCATCTCTTGGATTTAGGTCACCTATAATCTCAACTCGTTCCACGTAAAATTTGGGCTTTGTCGGTATTGGGGTCTAGGTGTGGCACTCATTGCAATGCACCCTTGTCCAAAAATGGCAAAATTAAATGCTAATTATCTACCCTACGGAAGGGGTTATGGGAAAAATTTCTACAGGCGGCTTTCCAAAAGTCATATGTGTAGATTTCAAATATGCCCTTGGATTTGACCTTTGACCTTTATTTCAAGATCAAACGGGCCAAAATTTTCAAAAAAACAAATTTTTTTACGAAAAAAAAATTATTTGCCCTGTTATTCAGACACCACACAGACTTAACCAATAATATTATTGAAAAGTGTTACCCTTCAGGTCATCTTTCATCTCCCTGAATTTGTGGTCAATCGGTGCATTTTCACGGGAGTAGCGGCCATAAGATACTGAAACTGAAAACTGTCTCTAATTCGGGAACCGTTAATGCTAGAGACCCATTCTTTTTTGCATTTTGTAGAGCATGTAAAGCCCAACACTGGAAGTTGTCTCCGTTTTTTTGTATTCCATACGGTTTTCGAGTTACGCGGTATCAAAAAGTACATATTGGTGGTGAAAGCAAAATGTGCAGTACGGTAATGGATAATAAATTTTGAACTCTGGAAAAATAAAACATAAGGCTTGGCGAAGCAGACAACCTGTGGTCAAAAATGACATTATTTCATCAAATTTGAACATCTGGAACTTCAGAGCACCTCCCATTTCAAGAATTTTGACCAAAATGACCTTTACTTTATTTTAATTAATTTTTTCTGTACGAAATTTATGGCACATTATTGTAACTCCAAAATTATAACATTTAGTCCCTTATATCTCCAAAACTGGCAGAGATAGGTCCATAGTTACTATTGAAGTTGAATAGGAAATCATATATTGGCAATCTAAATGTGACCTTGAAATTGACCTTTGACCTACTTTTCATCATGAATTGAACTTTGCAAATTTTGGTTCCCTTTTATCTCCAAAACTGGCAGAGATAGGTCTGTGGTTACTATTGAACATGAATAGAAAGTCATATACTGGCAATCTAAATGTGACCTTGAAATTGACCTTTGACCTACTTTACATCATGAATTAAACTTTGCAAATTTTGTTCCCTTTTATCTCCAAAACTAGCAGAGATAGGTCCATAGTTATTATTGAACTTGAATAAGAAGTCATATACTGGCAATCTAAATGTGACCTTGAAATTGACTTTTGACCTATTTTTCATCATGAATTGAACTTTGCAAATTTTGTTCCCTTTTATCTCCAAAACTGGCAGAGATAGATCCATAGTTACTATTGAAGTTGAATAGGAAGTCATTAGAGTCCATTTACTGTAACCTTAAAATTGACCTTTGACCTACTTTTAACCATGAACTTAACATTGCAAATTTTGGTTCCCTTTTATCTCCAAAACTGGCAAAAATACGCCTATAGTAACTATTGAAATTGAATAGAAGTCATTAGAGGCAATCTAAGTGTGACCTTGAAATTGACCTTTGGCCTACTTTTCATCATGAATTTAAGTTTACAAATTTTGGTTCCCTTTTATCTCCAAAACTGGCAGAGATAGGTCCATAGTTGCTATTGAACTTGAATAGGAAGTCATATACTGGAGATTTACTGTGACCTTGAAATTGACCTTTGACCTACCTTACTATGAACTGAACTTTGATTGTACCATTTTTAGTTATATATTTTTTTGCATATTTTGAGAATTCTTGTTGATTGCATTTTTTACAGCTTGTCAAGCACAAGACTGGTGGTGATGTCCCTTTTTTGTGTGTGTGGGGGTCTATACGATCGCGCTTACCCCAGCTGGTGGTACAATATTCGGAGGCGGTATCGCCTCTCTGATCCTCTAGTTATTATTTAAAATTAACAGAAAACATTGGTGTGAACAATCTTTTCCTTCTAGTTTCACCCAGAACCAAGAAGAATTGATGTCAATAAGGTGGCTGCTTTGGATATCCCATTACAGTAAGAGAACACTTGATTAGAAACATTGCAGACTAACTAGTCTATGTCAAATATGGCCAACCCTTTTGTATAGTTCCCCACAGGGAATCTATTCAGTATCTATTAGCGGATTAGATGGCAAGCTTTTAAGTTGGTTGCCAGCACAAGAACAATATGTGGGGCCTCGATTTGAAACATGACAGCTTTTGTGTTTTTAATCTCCAAAAACTTTTAAAAATCTATAAAGCTAATAAATTGGCCGTCGATAAGAACCTTTTATATCGTATCTTTTATATTAATTATTATTGAAGATCACAATAATAAACGAGTCGCATTTCAATGTACTCCATGCTATGGTCTTTATTTAAAAATAGCAATTTTTACGAGATTACATATTGCATCGTATTGTTTGATTCCATTGCCTCGCTTTCAAAAATTAGAACAGGCGCTCCAAAACCGGGAGACGAAGTAAAAAAAATATATTGGCCAAGTTCGCCCTTGCACAAGAATGTCCTCACAGCATTATCCGCAATTAACCTTCCTAAGATTTTGAATGTATTTTGGAATATCATTTTCAATCTGGCCCATGAAGAATTTAATTAATCAAGAGTGGGGGAGGGGTGAAAAATCCCCATTGGGGCCACATATAACACTATAAATACAAGGGAATCCCCTGAAAATGAAGGTAAAATAAATGTTATTCTAAGGAATTCCGACGGATTTACTTTTTACAACATAAAATCAATAGAACATTTCTAATATAAATTTTCAGAAAGATACCAGAGAGCAAATGAAATAAAAACAAACAGACGGTAAACACCGGCAGGCTTTGTCAATTTCACCAACTTGTTTATTTCAAACAGCGCACTTTTCGCGGATGCATAGTTGTTTGAAGCCTGTGCTTTGGTTGCCATATTTGGACGGTGGACTAGTTAGTTTGCTGTTCTAGCCTTTGCTGAAGCATTGTGTAATATTACATCAAAATTGACAAAAAAAAAATTTTTTTGCCCTGCCACAATAAGCCAGGTCTCATGAACGATTATTGCCGTTTCCGAGCACGAGCCTCAGATTCCCTAGCGCAAACGCCAATATTAACGAGCCCCACTTCAGATTAACAAGCACAACGTAAAGTTACCAAGCACAAACTTAGCGTTTCCAAGCACTATCAATTTGTCCAGCTTCCGTCGGGGCCCCCGACTGCTTACATACGGGTTCTTTTTATCAACTCGGGACTATATATATATATATATGTGCCGATTTTCAGAAACTACTCAGACCCATGGACATAATGAGAGAAGGACGTGAAACCCGGCATCTTCCTTTGAAGCTATGTGCGTTCGGGTAAACATTCGGTCAGGCTGTTTTGATAGCTCCACTGGAGCCTGAACAACTTATTATCAAGGTAGTGCGCGCTGTGCCTCATTGAAATTCTTTTGTTCTGTTGCATGGATAACGCAATTTCTCGCAGTCCCTCGTGGTTGTAGTTGTAGTTGTTAGCACATAGACTTGCGTCAACAAGTGGAAATTTGTTTCGGGTTTTCAGTCTCTTTTTCTTGTTACCTAATTAAAATGGGCTCTGGCCTTTGTCTATACTTGTTATCATTTCCAAGATTGTATTGATATATGTTGAACTGATATATAACTGGTTTAAAAGCATGTTGACTAATAAAGCTAGGTAGGTGCTATCCAAATGCATCTGATAACAAGATAATGCAATGTAGCAAGCCAATTACAGAGGTGAGACTTAAATCACAAATGTAACAATATAATATAACAATATTAATATAACAACTGCCTTGTTGTCAGGACACGTGTTTATTGTACCACCAGCGTAGGCGCTGGCGGTACCCATGGTTTTAGTCCCGACCCGTATGTTCCGCCGGCTCCNTGAACTTTGATAGTACCATTTTTAGTTATATATCTTACTTTGCATATTTTGAGAATTCTTGTTGATTGCATTTTTTACAGCTTGTCAAGCACAAGACTGGTGGTGGTGTCCCTTTTTTGTGTGTGGGGGGTCTATACAATCGTGCTTACCCCAGCTGGTGGTACAATATTCGGAGGCGGTATCGCCTCTCTGATCCTCTAGTTAATTTTTTAGTTCAGTGAATCAGTTTTTTAATATTTGACTAAATAATTATATAGGTGTACCTTTATGTTAAATTGGTAAAATTTTCATAACCTTGTTATGGCATTAAAACAAAGAACTGCTTTAATGAAAATGTGTGCTTAACTAACATGGTTCCTTATATATATTATTTTTTCAGGACTCAACCTAGAGCAGGTGGATGTGTTGTGGAGTTGTCTGGTGTCTGATCAAACAATGAACCTGAACTTTGACCTCCAGGTGGCTGACGAGTGTCTAAACTGGTTTCTCAATCAAGCCAAGAGCAAGGACCACCATGCTTTAGGCTGGGACACACTCAAACATATCTTTATGGAAAAGGTAATTGCAAATCTATCTTATGAACACACTGTTTTATGTTTATGCACTTAAAAATTTAACATTTCTCTCTCTTTCTCTCTGTCCTCCCTCTCTCTCTCCCTCTCTCTCAATAGTAAACACATTTTTAATTATGTGGATGTCATCTCCATTTAGATGCCTCTTTTGGAACCAGAGCACATGAGTATGACTGGCCTCAGTCTGTTCCAACAGCTGTGCCATTTGGCAAGAATTGCCAATGCTTCTCTGGACCAACCACTCTCAGAGGATGAAGTGAGTTCATTGACAGTTTTATGTGATTGATTTGAATTATTCTGACATTGGCCTTCAGTGTTTTATGGTAGCACTTCAGATGAGTTTTGTCCATTAGCTACATTTGATGAAATATTTGTTTACAGAATTTCCTCAGTTTTAATACAGTCATTCTGATAAACTTTTATTTTGAATGCCAATGTGATAATTTGTGAAAGATGTTTACTGATAAACTTTATCCTCTAGAACTTATTAATTTGTTGCAAATGGAGACAGTTTTCTAAATGCTTTATGATCTTGTTGTGTGATATTTTGCTATTGTACCCTTTGTTTAGATCTGTGGCATGGACCAGCTGTGGGGTATAGCTCTCAGAGCACAGAACACTGATGTCAGCCTGGCAGCCATACAGCATCTTAACACGTACTATATCAACTGTGAGTACTGCCAACACCACAGGGTGACCCAAAATAAATACCACATCTATTTAGATAAATAAAATCTGCATTTGTCTGAAGGGTTTGTTCATATTTAGCATAAATGATCACCACACGTATCAATTTTTAGTCAAGTTAAAGATCTCTTTTAGATTTATTTGTTCAGATGTGCTCCTAACATGGTCTGTAGCATTCTTTTGTGGTTTATGTATATTTTTGATGGCATTGAAGCACTTTATTTTAGAATACGTGTATTTATTTCAGATGGGAATGAAACACTGGAAAAGGAGGAAGAATTCATTAGTCGATGCATGGAGAGACTTGTCAGTGCATCTCACAGGCTAAAAGAGGTGGGTATTTTTTCACATTACAATATGAGTGCAATGAGTCATTCTCAAACAACATATCAAAAATGTGTAACTGCATCATCAGCATTGGGGTAATTTTGACAATTTGACAATACCTGTAGTGACATATTCATGGGCAGTATAGATCAGGACCCTGTTTAATACAATAAGGACTTCAAAGGTGTGTCAATGAGCCTCTAGTTTCATTAGAAATGTAAAAATTACATTGACAAAATTTCCAGCATGTGCCCTTCAGAGGTCTGTTAGACCACCATTTTACTAAAGTATCAATAATGAGTTTGGATTCAACTAATGTGTTTTTTATTCTTAAAGAAAACCAATCAGATAACTTACTTGAAATTTATTTCTCCAGAGCCCTGAATCGGGGTTGCTCATCATTCATCGAGGTCTCATCCTGCTGAAGAACCACATTGATGGGTTCCGGCGCCGCTATGCGTATCACTTGCGTAACTGGCAGCTGGAGAGCCAAGGTATTCACAGCCACCAGAAAAGTCTTCACGACAGGAGCTCGGCTCCCATCAGGATTGTGCTGCAACCAGCTGGAATGCCTGAAAAGGTTGGTTTTGGTTTGTGTTTTGTGCTTTTAATGAAACTGTTAGGTTTTGTTCAAAGGTACTTCTTATCAGTGGGTTGAACTGTTATAATGAAGGGGTATTGATACTGCTGTGTAAAAAAAAAAAAAAAATATATATATATATATATATACCTAATGAGATGAGGAACTAGTTGACATACAAGGGTAATGAACAAATGGATATGTTCAGTACCTTTTGTTTTTGTGTGGTTCATGTAATTTCAAAATTAAGGTAGATAGTGATTTGAGGAAATCCTATTTCAGATGACATTAGAAATGTTATCCAGTGACTTGATAGCCGAGTTGAGGGCAGAGGTCACAAAGTGCTGGGAGACACTGCAGAAACAACAGTCTAGTCAGAAGTTTAAACAACAAGGTCAAGGTCAAGCACAGGGCTCAGTGCTGACCCCTATACTTGGTGCTATGCTAGGTGATGGACCAATTAGAATGTTGACTTTGGGCCAGGAACTAACAGTAGATTTAGATGAGAAGACACTAGCAGAGATGCAGATCAAAGACATGCAGGTAAGAATTAAATCCTGTAGGAGATACTGTGTATAATTACCACAGGATAGGTGTAAATTTGAAAATAATCAAAATTCATCACAATTGATGAAATATTTCAAGCTTTGTGAGATATGACTTTATTTTTGGGTAGAAAGTGAAACGTTTTAACTTATGACCATTGTCAATAGACTACAAGGATGAATTTCCATCAGAATTGATGAAATAGTTTTCACCGATTTTACCTCTGTGATCTGTCATTTACAAAAAAATCTTTCATTATCCCTTTTAAAGTAAATATGAATGCCTGTGTTCTGGTTTCTAATATGTCATTGACAGAGGCTAACATTTTGTCCTGTTAGGTTGTATTTGTATCTGTTGGGGCAAGTCATCGTCCACCCAGGAAGCAAGATGGTAGCTCGCCAGCTTCTTTCCTTCCTCCACCACCAAAAGAGCGCTTGCCAATGATGTTATTGCTCCAGGATCCCCACTTTGAAAATCTCTTTGATTTGTTGCAACAGCTCAGTAATTTAAAGTGCCAAAATAAAGATATGGTGAGTGTAGTAAATTGACTGATCAGTTAATTAATTGATTAATTGTTGTTAGGTATGTTTTATCATTTCTGAGTGTATAATTCATAAACTTTACAAAGTCATTTTATTTGTTTTTTTTTTTATGTATTATTTTTTAATTTGATGCTCATTCAGCTATCTAATATAATGTAATGTGCGACTGCATATTTGAAATAGCATTAAGTTAACTCCTTGTAAAGAAGTGCATTGAATATTGTGAACATGGAATTGGATTCCACTTTAGGATTCACAAGAGAAGTATAGCCTGCAAACCAAGGCTAAAGTCCAGTCCAGGAAGGTCTGGGAGCTGCTCATGTTACTGCCCACAAACCACAAGATGTTGCATGGATTCAAGAGTGTGATGAATGCAGATGTGAGTTGAAAGGAATTATTTAACTGTATTTCACTTTTCATCTGTTTGCAGGTTTCGTTGTTAGTTATTACTAAGCCCATATTAATGGAATGTTTCTCAAACTCTTGAAGTGTAGAGCAGATATTGAAAGTTTTGATGGCAAAACTTGAACTTATGTATATGCTACCTTTGCACCAAGATGTATTTTTTTATTTGTCAGGATACATGCCCCTGATTCTTTTACATATTTATTTTTGTCTTTTTTGATCATTCAAAAAGACTTCTACATTTTCTAACCAGGAATCCAGCCAAAGCAGTATAAACTGGAGTGAGTTGTTGGATGCCCACCACCCTCAGAAACTCATGTATTCCCTTCAGATAGTGGAGGGTTTGTCCAAAGTTCCTAGATATAGGAGGAAGTCAATTGTAAGTACTCTCAGGGCAGGGTAACACTGAAGAAGGAAAGTTACTGTACCATAATGTAGTTAACTTTTACAACATTTGTTTGGATGACACAATTGACATGTTGTAAATACCTCCATAGTTTACTTCGATATTCAACTAATATTCATTCAAAATTGCCCAATTTGCTGTGTTGCATAGAAATGTGTAATGCTGTTGTTTCACTCATTATATAGGTAATATTGTGATAGTCCTTCTTAATTGTTTCCCAAGATGTTTCTTTTGTATGGTATAAGTTATATTTTTGAAATAATACATACATGATGCTGTTTCACACAAGATACACTGTAACCACCTGATGCATTCATCCTAATAGTTTTGAACCCATCTTTCAGTTAAGTTCCTATTCTGGAGCTGGAGACTCCCACCTCACTAGCACAGACTCAGATTTATCTGTAGATTTAGGTGATTTACCAGAAGAGATTTGGAGTAAACAGGTACCAGCAGTTATATATTTATATCATTATTTTGATTAGAGTGTTGTGAGTTCTGCTTTATTACATTCAAGATTCCCGCACCAAGTCACATGATACCAGGTGTCATGCAACACCTGGCGTGATGCGTAAACAATACATAGACTTATACACTACAAGAGTATATGCCTTAATTATCACTGTAAAATAGCATCTTCTTTATATTCAAATAAATTGAGTGATGCATCTTTAGTTTTCTTTAGAGGTTGCATGATAACATATTTGTTACATACAAAAATTTATGTGAAATTATATGAGTTGAAATACAATGTACAGATCTTGTATTACTTACTCAAATGTTTCCAAAATAGGATAAACTGAAATCAATTTTTTTCATACAAGCAGGATTTTTTTTCACCCTGTGAAGTACTTATGTTCAACAGCATAAAGTGTTATCATCTACAATTCACAGTGTTATTCTACATTTGCAGTTTATCTCCTGTGGTGGTCTGAAGCATCTATTCAGCATATTTCTGTCAGGCAGCCTACAGATCAAAGACCAGGAAGATTGGAATGAGGTAGGCAAGGATGAAAATGTACACAGAGATGGCTTTTTTTCAAAAACTATTTTTATTTTGTATGAAAAAGAAAAAAAATTTCACATAGCAATGCTCATCTGTTTTCCTAAGGAATTTGAAAACTTTTTTCCTGCAACTTGGTATAATTAAGAATGAAAATTGGAAATATCAAATTAGACCTTGCTTAAATATTCATATTATTTTGCAGTGGAATCAGGAATGCTTGGCATATCTCTTAAGGTTGGTCAGCCAGTTTGCTATCAACCAATCAGATGCTAGTTCTGATGAAGTATTTGATGGCTATGAAACGCCAAGGAAGAGAGCCAAGAGACATAAGGGACAGGAAAACATTGTCATTCCTAAATTGAATCATGTATGTACAATTGAATTGAAATGCATCTTATCAAATGTAATTTTGTTAAGTGTGCTTTGTATGCTAATGGGATGTTGGTCCTGATAATAATTATGATAAACTAAACTGACTGCATTGATGATTTTACGGTAAACACTTGTTGCAAACCCCTATTTAGTACAGGTTTATTATTTTAATTTTTTTTTTAATTTCTATTATTTTAATCAATGCCAATATTTCAATATCCTGGTTCGGTGGAGCATAGTAGATTATATCCAGGTGCTAACTGAATTCTAATCAGGCTAAAATAAATTTACAATACTGCACATTTTTGAACCAAACTTTTGATCAATTTTTTATTATTAATTCTCTATTTTGCTGAAATTATTTAGATATTTGGCTATGAAATTCTATTTCACTGACACAAAGTCTTAAATAGGGTGTTGATGTGCATCTTAAATTTAAGACCACACTGTCTATGATGGAGGTGGACCATGTGATCAAGATCCTGATGACCATCCTGTATGATGCTGCAGTGCCCAGTGAATCCAAGCAGTTCCAGGCAGGCTCATGGGGGAGAGCAGAAGGTAAGATTTCTGGAAATATTGATATTTTTGTGGTGCAGTAGAAAATTCAAGTGGCATACTGGTATTTTGTTGTATTGACATGGATTTGTTAATAATATGATAACTTTTTAGAGGAGGGGGAAGTTGTATGTAATTGAATTGTGCCAAAAATCTTTTAAAACATTTTTTACTTAATTTATAATATCCAAGTTATTGGATTCAGAAAAATCCCTTTTAAGTGCTTTGTATGCAATGTGTTTTGTATCAAACATCACTCACTGATAATTTCAATGTTGACATAATGATCTGAAGCATGTGGTTGGTGTAATTCCAGTGATCCACTACTCCCTGTCCTTCCTGGTCTCCTGGGCCTTTAGCTGTCCTGATGTGCAACCAGCACTGTGTGGAAATGACATGTTTCAAAACTGGCTGAAGAGACTCACTCTGGAAGCACCTGAGGTAAAATAAAATCATTTTACAATTTTACGTCATTTTATTTTATTCATTTTATATTTCATTAGCTTTTTTTTATACAGATCTGTTTAAGAACATAAGAATAGGTGAATGGTAATTTGAAAAAATTTTGAGATAACGTGCTGTTAGGTACTGGGCAGTCTCTTCAGATAAAGTCCAATGTGAAACTAAACCTACCATCAAATGATGTAATTTATATTTAGTATAAATAAACTTTAAAAATAAGTTGTGTCCATATTATCCTTTTTATTTCAGCCAGGAGATGTGTCCATGTGACATGGTCTGGAATTGAATAAAATTATATAAAGTTATCATTTTTTTTCCTTTCAGCCAATAGTTCGCCAGGAGGCCTGTAGGGGGCTGTACAGGTTGTGTCTGGGTCAGACTGTAGATGGCGTTACAGGGTACAGCTTCCTCATGCCAGTGCTAGCATCTCTCCTCCGCTTCCTTCCCGAGGCTGAGATGATGAAGCCTGCCAGGAAAGAGGTAGGTTCTCTATGAATATTTTTTAATTATTAATTATCAGAGAAAATGTGTTGAAATAAAATTGTGAGATTATATAGACTTCTTCTCAAAAGTATAAAAATTGCTTTTATAAAAGTTAAGATTATACATAGTTTTATTCAAATGTTTGAATCTGTAAAATACGTGTATTTCAAATGTACAGACCCATGGAATCGCACTAATGTGTTTGATACAGAGTCGTGATATAACTTGCCATTATTTCTCTGCAGCATGCAGAACACCCAAAGGATAAGGAGCCATATGGTCCTGGTTGCCGAGACTATTTCTGGCTGACGTGTCGTCTGGTGGAGAGCATGTCCAAGGAGGACGCTGCCAAGGCAGGAGAGCAGGTAGGACTGAGCACTTGGAGAAAATGAGAATCAAATATAGACTATTTTAAAACATAAATGATAATTATTATATTGCTTAACATATAACGCTTCATATATTTATAAAAATGTAATTTTTGTATTTTGGCTGAATACAGTATTAAGTTTTTTGAAAGTGTTTTTAGGCAGAGAACTTGCAGAAAGGACTACAAATATTTTTTTGTAATATAGGACTGTTATGTGGACTTGAACTCCCTGTTGGGGTATATCTCCGAGGCTCTGAAGAAGAGAGAGTACCATGAAACCAGACATAACTCCATAGAAGATGATGGACTGATAGGGCTGCTCAACCTGGCCACTGCCATTTGTAAACATAACCCTGCATTTAAGTCTACTCAGAAAGGACAGGTAACACTGAAACACTTATAAAGAAATAATGTTTATAGATTAGGTATGATAAAGATAATATAATAACAGAAAAATAAATTGTTAGGTCCCAATAACTGGAAGTTTTATGGAAGTAAGTCATGTGACTTTTTAAAAATTTATGATGGCTATCTCCCTGTCATTGTGGTTTCAGACTGATAACTTCTTATCCGAAAATGTCATTGTTTTGCTTTTATCATTTCCCAAGATTGGTAAGATATAAACCTTGATCCTGTCATTCACCATTAACCCAATGCATCATAAACTCCCTGTAGTCAACAATAGTACTAGACTAGTACATAGTTCTTATCCCAGTGTTTTTCAGAGTTCATCTGTTCTGTTTCAGGAGTTTCTGTACAATGTATTCTGGAACCTGTTCTCCCTTCCTAACACTGGTCAGCGATACTTCCCCAAGTGTAAGACCCAGGCCTCCAGGTCTGCTGTCTTTGATTTCATGGTGGAACTGGTGAAGGGAAACCTGGACAATTATACCTTTCTACACGAGATGATTATGAAACAACACACAAAAGGTAAGGATATTTTTATTTGGTTTGATGTTCTTAAATTGTATTTTGAGCATGCCTGAATGAATTTTTTAAGTTATGTGTTTATTATAGTATCTAGCAGAAGAGCACAATTTTAGAATATGTACAGTTAGTGCAGTTGATATTAATCACTTCAAACTGGTGGTTCTCATTGCTTAATTGATGGTGATTTGACTTCTTATACAATGTAATACAGATGCTCATGCCCCCTATCCCTGGGATTACTGGCCACATGAAGACGAGCGGTCACTGTCTGGCTATGTAGGGCTGACCAATCTTGGGGCCACCTGTTATATGGCCACCTGTATGCAGCACTTGTTTATGATTCCACAGGCAAGGCAGTCTGTCTTGGAGGCAAAGGTAAGGAGGACACTGCCACCTGGTGTGAGTTAGAAATTTTGTGTGTGTTGATAATCGTATTACAACATGTCTATTTGAAGGTTTTAACAGTATGCTGACAGATCAATAAGAAAGTTATTACCAAGAAAGCTAGTTATGTGTGATCACATGAAAAATTTTAATTGCTACATATATTTGTTGGTTTGAGGATACAGATAATACAAAAAAATTAGAATCCATTATTTGCTTTGAGATTTGCTAATTAAGGTTATGTATTAGTTATGCTTTGAGATGAAAGTATATTTCTGACAAATATCTCTTTAGCTTATAATCTATACATTTCCAGTGTACCCATGACAACACATATGAGGGCACCTTGATTGAACTACAGAAGATGTTTGCTTACCTCATGGTTAGGATGCTGGTTTAAAGTTTATATCAATATCTCAAATATTCCGTGAATGTAAACAAAATGTATTTCTGTAATTATGATATAATATTGTATTGTATCAAACAGTAAGATGTGTGATCAGCATGGTGTTTAAGGGGTGCTGCTATTATCTTTATAATCCTCTCTGGTATTTGGTCATCAAATCGATATTTAAAAAAAACACAAACTATTTTATTTTCAACCAAATTGTGAATACAGAAAGATCTTGTATTTCGTTTTGTTTCTAGGAAAGTGAGAGGAAGGCCTACAATCCCAGAAGTTTCTGTAAAGTCTACACCATGGATAAACAACCTCTGAATACAGGAGAGCAGAAAGACATGACAGAGTTCTTCACAGATCTCATCAGTAAACTGGAGGAGATGTCTCCAGAGTTGGTGAGTGGGCTGTTATAATTTCTGTTATAATTTCTACATCCCTGGCAATAGGTTCATTGGGAGTTTTATATATTATGCCAGTATGAAGTAATTTCCTTTTTTCGTTCAAATTACAATAAATAGTTCACCCAGAAAGTCACTTTTTACATGTGTACATTTTTGGTAATTTAAGTGTTGCTAATATAGATTGCCATATATATTCAATGATATATTGAAGTTTTACTTCTATTTCAGCAAACTCTTGTGAAGAACTTGTTTGGGGGCAAACTGACCAATAATGTTGTTTCTCTGGTAAGTAAAGGTCCATCTTCCAATTACACCAAAAATCTGAGGCCTTAGAAATTAGGGCACACTAAAATCTCAAATTTGACCAGATATAAATTGTTTGTGGTAGATCAAATTTCTAACCTTCAGTAATATGGAAGCAGGTTGTTATAAGTTATGAGATATGTATGCTTCTTGGTTTTCTTTATTTAATTATTGATGTGTACATATTTCAATTAAAGAAAGATACCTATTTGATTTACTTTTCACTTGCAGGACTGCCCCCATGTCAGCAAGACTATTGAGGAATTCTACACTGTAAGGTGCCAAGTTGCTGATATGAAAAACCTTTATGTAAGTTATATATATATATAAAGCATATAGTTTCTAGTGCTCAATGCGGATGGGAGCATTTATACATGATAATGATAACTCACAAGGACACTTTTAATACCCTGTTACGTGCGCACAGTAATACATGTATGTATATGAGCATTTCTTACTATTTCACTTGCCTTAATAAGGTTCTTTAGTAGAAGATGATAACCCTAATGTGGCTTAGGATACAAATGCAGATTTTAAGTAGAAAAGGGGAATATTCAAGACAATGAAAACACTGTTTACTGTCACATAATTGTGTCAATCTCCATATTGTAGGAGTCCCTTGATGAGGTGACAGTAAAGGACACACTGGAAGGAGACAACATGTATACTTGCTCAAACTGTGGCAAAAAAGTTAGGGCTGAAAAAAGGTATCCATTTAATATTATGATATTGATTTTGTAGTTCATGTCTTATGTATCATAATTTTGTTTTTGGTGTATCTTCAGGCCTAATTTTTGATGTAATAGATAAACATAAAAAACATTACAATTGATTTAGTATAGGAGAGCAAAAAAGGAAATCTTCCTTTGTTAGGTAGTGTCCTAGAATGATACACATGACAGATTGAATTTCATGTTGTTCTTTTATCTTATTTTTAAGTTGCTGAAGTCTTTACCAACTTTATCTTGTCTATTTATTATTCAGGGCGTGCTTCAAGAAACTTCCCAAGATTCTTTGCTTCAACACCATGCGGTACACATTCAATATGGTGACCATGCTGAAAGAGAAGGTCAACACACACTTCTCCTTCCCACTGAGACTGGACATGTCACCCTACATGGAGAAGACATTGATGGGACCAGAGAGAGCAAAAGGTAGATTCCTTGAGAATTCCCTGAAATTAAAAAGATGATATTTTCATGAGACCAAAGAGAGGAAGCCTTTTCTTGGAAATTTATTTGAATGTGAAAAAAGATGCGTAATAGGACAAGAGAGGAAAAGATTAGTTCATAGAAATTTCCTGAGTTTGAAGAAATGGTCCAATCAAAGCATTTTTTGTAAATAGAAAATCCTTGAGTATGAAAGAAAATGCTTTGTTGGGATCACCTAGAGCTAAAAGAAGTATTATATGTCATACTTGGTGAGAGGTCATTTTTAAACTATGAACTTTTACCAAAGGAGTCTATTTATATATTGTATTATTTACAGATGAGGATGTGGAGAAGAAACCCCAGGACAAGGTGGAGGAAGAAACAGACAGTGACACAGAGGCGGAGAGGGAGGGTTATGACTATGAACTGATTGGAGTGACTGTCCATACTGGGACAGCAGACGGAGGTCACTACTATAGCTTTATCAGGGACAGGGTCCACCAGTCTGATAATGGTCAGGATAGATGGTGAGCATGAAGGGGTTATAGATATGAACCTTTTTTATTCAGATATAATGTCTTTAATATCAATTGTTTTCCTAAGTTGAGGACAAAGTTGGCAAAAAAGTAAAATAATGTACATTTCCCGTAGCCAAATTAGAATAGTTGAGCTAAAATTTGGTGTGCTTTAGTGAACCTAGTGAATTACTTTAAGCTGAGGTGATAAAATTTTTGATGATATTACTTTTCACACAGATTAAATTCCCCAATAAGTCCTTGTGTTCTCAGAGATAGATATTATGTCACCAGCAGTTTGTTCTAAATTTGGCACAATTGTTGTAGCAAGCATGTAACCTTTGGTGTCTGCATCTCTGCTTCTGCTCTTTGCTTGATTAAGATATGCATAAGACATTAGAACATTTTCTTAAAAAAAAAAGATAATTTTTGTTTATGCTCCTTTGATGACATATAATTTTATTAAGTCAAATTTCACTAAGAAGTTGTATTTTGTCTCATAATCTAGGTATCTCTTTAATGATGCTGAAGTGAAACCATTTGATCCTGCCCAGCTGGCAACAGAGTGCTTTGGAGGAGAAATGACAGTAAATAATATTTTTTTTATTAATTTTTTTACTTTGACTTATTCTGTACCTAGTAAAAAGGGATAAACGTCTACATTTTTAGAAATGTTTATTTATGGATTTTAGTCCTATGAATTTATTATTGTCACCAGGTGTAATTTGTTTAGGACTAAAACTCAAGTCTCTGGGATTTTTCAATTTGATTTTAGATTCTAAATAAATTTATTGAAATATTGCTATAAATACTGTTCAATTTTAGATATTACATGTCAGTATCTCCTTTCAGAGCAAGACTTATGATACCATGACAGACAAGTTTATGGACTTTTCTTTTGAAAAGGTAACTTGCAATTATCAGTCAGATTTAAAGTGTTTACTGAAGAAATTCTTGAATATCAATTTGGCATTAGGCGGGTCTGTATCCCCTTAAGTCAAATAAATTGTTAAATCCCCGTATGAGATAAGCTGTGAAACAGATGGTATTTGGCAGAAAAAGAAAGGTGGCTGATATGTTAAATAAACGTGTTCTTCTTTCAGACCAACAGTGCATACATGTTGTTTTATGAGAGAATGAAGCCCCAGGCCTCTAATGTACAGGTGGAGCAGACTGTGTTACCAAGGTTTAATTTTGAGCTAGGCAAGGAACTGGCAGATGTAAGTACAGCTTCTAGCCTCTAGACTATGAACATTTGTACTTGCTTCATTAGGCTCAAATGTTAGAAACTGAATAGTGAGTGGAATGATGCTTAGAAATGTTTGAAATTAACTGATGAAAATTGCATGATTTGTTGTTGATTTGGGTCTTTCTAATATTGTTGCCTTAATTTTTCTTTTTTCTCAAGTGGATTTGGCAGGATAATAAGCAGTTTATCCAGGACAAGAACCTGTTTGAACACACATATTTTGGGTAAGTAAAACCAGATCTTTCCATCATTTTTAAACAGTTCTCATGTAGAATGTATATTACAAATATACTCATAATAAGCAGCTTTTAAGGAAATTTTGAACACATCAAACCTTTCTGTATGCCACTACGGTGATATAAACAGATCTAGATCACTCCATACAGTGTTACTTTCAAGATACCTCATCATCTGAACCACACTCTTACCCAAAACACTGACAGTTATATTGCAATATTTTTGTTGCATTATTCAGGTTCATGTGGCAGATCTGTGCCTATCTTCCTACAACCCTACCCAAGGACAATCCAGAGGTTCCTTTACTAGCTGCCAAACTCAGCACATCTTTTGTGCTGGAAACCTTCATTCATGCCAAAGAAAAGGTGAGGAAATATAGCCTTAAGTCATTATTTTTTAAATGCATCGTTTGTTGTATTTGAGCTTTCTAAAAGAATTAGTTGCAGTTAATGTATTATAAAGAAATATATACATACATAGTCCCTTGCCCCTTTGTTTTCCAGCCCACTATGTTACAGTGGATAGAGCTTTTGACCAAACAGTTCAATTCTTGCCATGCAGCTTGTGAGGTGAGTAGTTTTTCCACTTGTTAAAAGATGGCATTCCATTCTATTTATCCTCAAGTCCATGTTCTGTTGATAAAGCTTATAAAATATAGGCATAAAATTATCTACTTGGTACCAAGTTTCAAATTTTAACAGGTATGCGTATTAACCTCGAATACTCAATCAAAGACATCCTGCAGGTATTAGTAAGGTAATGTCATGTTTTCAGGTATATATTTATTAATTTATTTACAGTGGTTCCTGGACACCATGGCTGAAGATGACTGGTGGCCACAGCAAATACTCATCAAATGCCCCAACCAAACTGTTAGACAGGTGAGTTAGTTCTGCTATGTCAGCAGACAGAAATAGGGATATGGGATATTTAGGGGACACTTATTATTATTCTTATTGCTTCAGACATATTTTAATATTTTAAAAGCTTCCATTGAAAAGAAACACTTGAATGCAATGTTTGTGTACCTGGGATCATTGGAGTGGAGAAATGTTTAAACAGAATTTTAAAAGTAAATTTTTCTTTCAGATGTTTCAGAGATTACTTATACATGTGATAACACAGCTCAAACCAGTTCATGTTAGTTTGTACCTGTTGCCATTAGGAGAAAGGTGAGCAGTGGATCTAGCTTAACTTTCACTTTCAAATTTATCTTAGTTTGTGATGAATAAGATTTAAAGATTTTTTTCTTACTCACTGGATATTGGAAAGAGTATCGGTTAAGTCCAAAACAACTGTCAGAAAATCATAAGTTATCTCTTGACCAATATTCATATTTTTCATTCTAGTGATGAAGTTGATGTGGATAAGATAGGAAGCAAGTCATGTGTGACCAGATTCATCAGAAATATGCTTGCCATTGTAAGTTTTTCTGTTTCACTGGGCATGTGTTTTTATAATTATTTTTTTCAAGAGAGACAGAAAGATGGCAAGAGAGATAGGTTGGATGGTAGGGGAAGAAGTCATTAAAGAATAATCTAATCATAAATTCTCACTTTCATTGCTCCTGTCCATTTATGAATCCACTGATGTATATAGAGTATTTGAATTATCTATATGTTCTCCGTCTCTGTCCCCTCAGACTGAGCAAGGTGCACGCCCCAACAGCAAGCACCTGACAGAGTACTTTGCCTTCCTGTGTGAGTTTGCAAAAATGGGAGAAGAAGAGAAAATGTTCCTGCTCAACACTGGTGCTATCTCTACCCTGATCCACTTCTATCTGGGACAGAAATCTCAAGAACAATACGTAAGTATGGGTTATGTTCTGTGCTATAAAGACTGCCACCTTGCCAAATACCATTAAAATGTTAAAAATTTGTTAAGTTACTAACATATTTGAGATGTACATCTATACCAGATTATAAAGAGATGTTTTATTAACTTTACTTTTATCTGTCTCGTGAAGCAGATTATTATTTTGTGAAAATCATTAAAAAAAATATCTCACATTACCCCAATTTACAGGTTGAGATCCTATCAGATGAAGATGAGGAAGAAGAAGTGATCACTTTGTCTGAAGGAAAGTACCGTCCTCCATCTTTAGACAAGATGATCAATCTCATTGCCATGTTGGTGGAGAGTGCGCGAGGGGAGGACAACCAGCTCCATCTGTTGGAGAAAGATTACAATGCTCTACTTGGAGGAAAGGTAGTAAAGATGAAACATGTTGATGGAATACATGTTAACTATTTGGACTAAAGTGTTTCTGGATGTGTCTGGTTGTCTGAATAGGAATTTTTAATAGTAGAACAATTATACAATACACTAAATCACCTAACAAAAACAAAACAAAATTTGATTTATGAACTGTCACACCTTGCGCAAGTGCATAATCCACACCTGTTACCCTGAAAACGCTGAAGGTTATTTGAAAGTCATTGCAACATATTTTTCTAGAGTGATGTTTTTGATTAGTGAAATAGATCACCTTTTAATGAGCACAAATTTAAAATGAAAATTGAACTTATAAATGTCATATTTTGATTGTATCTTAATCATATTTTCATTTTCTTTGTTTTGAAACTTGCTGTGAATTATTGCAGGGCTACCCGTTCCTGTTTAGTCAAATCCGAGACAGTATTAACCTGCGCCAAACCTGTAACCTTATCTTCAGTTTGTGCAGGTGGAATGACAGACTTGCTGCTCAGGTGAGAATATAGATGTTTCTTTGTGTATGCAAGGAATAAAGCTTGAATTTTGACATACCAGTTGGCTGTATAAGTTAACCCAAAGAGATCTTTAAAGTGTTTATATGAGTGTAGGTTTACATGAGATGCATGCAGGCACACATTTATAAAGTTAAAACTATTACATTTCTTCATTTGAATTCAGGCATAATTTTTTCTTTTGTTTCTTTTCAGACCATACACATGATATTCACTGCCATTACTAAACTGAACCAGGAGGTAAGTTAGTTAACATGTCTTTCCAGGTAACATTGCTTTTTTTCTCTTGTCTCTCTTTTTGGATAAATTCAGCATTCCATATCAAATTATTTTCTATAATATGTTATGATATAAAATGATATGATTCTGTGTCATGTCTTCATGAAATTTTTGATTTGTGTTTTCATGCCCATGTCCAGTTTCTTTGCTCTGATTCCAGTATGCTCAGCCATTCTTCAAGATCTTGTCTATGTTGGTGGAGTTTATTGGGGGACCCCCTGGGATGCCATCTTTTACACAATATGTGCTGCACAAGTTCTGGGATGTAAGTAAAACAATCCTTTTTTCATGATTTTTTTTCAATTGAAATTGAAGAATTGCATCCATGAGCTTAAATAATGTATGTGTTGCTTGTCAGCAATTTATTATCATTCTTACACAAGAGTGCTCAATACACAATGAGGAGTTTTCAAATGTCTGTTGTCTCATTAGTTGCCATCAGAACTGAAAAACATAGGCTCAGCAAATGTCTGAAGTACCATGTTGTCTCATTAGTTGCCATCAGAACTAAAAAACATAGGCTCAGCAGATCATTTAATAAAACAACTGAAAACTTATCTTTTGAAAAATTTTGTGGTATAACATATTATTAAGAGAATTGATATTTTTCTCTTTACTTTAAAAACCATTATTTTTCAATTTAAAATAATCATTTTAGCTTAGTATTTTAATTGTAAAATCTTCAGAACATGTTTTTATGGACTATAGACTCTACATAAATAAGTAAATATATTATTATTATTATTATTATTATTATTATTATTATTATTATTATTACCAATCTGTCCTTCATTTTCATCCCCCTCTGCTCCTGTCAGGTGTGTGAGTACTGCCCCCAGCAGTGTCTGGAGTGGATGTCCACCCAGGTGACGAGGAACAAGCTAGCCCATAATTTTGTCCTCCAGCACATGAGTGGGTGGGTGGAGCACTATCTGCTGGCACACAGTAATGCTAGGGTCAGGAATGGTGAGTTGAAATAGTTAGAAATGTGAAAGACGGTTACTTTGGTAATTTTTTAACTTTGATTGTGATTGTAAAAGTTTCACATACTTTGACATTGTGCTTTCTTTGCACCATTATTATTGTCACATGAAGCCTATTGTACTAGCAAAATTAATTCATTGTTATTTTCTCAATTAGCTTTAAGTAAAGATCAAGAAGGTCATAATCCCTGTATATGTTCAGTCAATTTTTGAAGTAAATATCATGAAAGTCATAGTTCCTGTCTGTGTTCCCAGCTGCTGCCCTACTGTTGGTGTCCCTGGTCCCCAGCCCTCACTTCAGACAAGCCTACAGATCTGCCAGGAGTATCCTCAGTCCACACAAGGAAATCTCTGTGAGTTGAAATAACAATTTAATCATATTATAACCCAATAAATAGAAAATTAATTAATTAATTAATATAGATGAAAAATCAATATCATATTGCTTGCACACAATTTTCACTTTTCTTGTTTGAATTTGGGAAAAGAAAAATTTACATGTGGGATACAAACACTTATTACAAAACATGTGTTGCATGATATAACATGTATATGTTGTAGATGGGTCACGAGGCTCTGGCTGTGCTGCACCAGATATACATGGAGCTCCTGAGACTGTTGAGCAAAGCCAAGCATTATGTCGGTGAGGAAATAATTGCTGGCATGCTATTATGCATGTGCGTGTGAGAGTGACATGACCACACTCATGACTTAGGCATCAATCTGAAGAATACCATTAACCTTGATGGTTACAAGCTTATAATACCTAAGACGTTTACAACTTCTGCTTATTGGTGCATAATATACAGTTTTTCTGTACATATACCCAGTTATGTTCAGTACTCTAGTCTGTAAAATGAAAGCATACGTATTAGCCAGAAATACATTGCCAGGACTGCCATTTATGAACCAAATTATCTTTAACTTTTTGTGTAATATTGAGTTTTTGAAATATTTTTTGTTAATCAGAGTGATGATTTTTGAGTGATATTATCTTTATTTCCATGCAGATGCCACAACCTACAGTACCACACAGCTGATGTCTTATTTTGCTCTCATGACCTACTGCCTGGTGTCTAAACAGGAGAAACTCTTGGTAAGATATCATATTGTACTGCCTGGTGCCTAAACAGGAGAAACTCATGGTAAGATATCATATTCTACTACCTGGTGTCTAAACAGGAGAAACTCATGGGAAGATAACATTTTCTACTGCATGGTGTCTACACATGGGAATGAGGCAAGTAATCCACATAACAGTTGAATTTGTAAAAGCAACACAGCACTGCTCAGAAGAAAAGACTATGTACCAGTTTAAATACAAAGTCAAAGATTTGACCAGTACAGCAGAGAAAAAAAGCTTAAAATTGCAGCTACAGACAAATCAAAGAAGCTTTACAGTATGCTCTGAATTATTTACACCCGCTTGTTTATATTCCAGTTTTCCCCTTTCTTCCTGGACCTGTGGCAGCTTTTCCAGCCCAAGCTGTCAGAGCCCCCTATAGCAGTTAACCACAACAAGCAGGCCTTGCTGTTGTTTTGGTACCAGGTGTGTAACGAGACCCAGGAGAACATACGGCTCATCACCTCCAACCCTCATGTCACCAAGAACATTGCATTTAACTATATACTGTAAGTGATATTATGCTGTACTGTTATTGACATTGTACTCCAAATGAAAGTGCACTATAAGTTGCATTGTTGTTGTACTGTAAATGATACTGATACTGTACTGTTAGTGATATTGTATTGTAAGTTGAATGGTTAATGTATTATAAATGTTGTTGGTCAGTAAGATTTTGCATGGCACATAGAAATAAGTGAAACTGATTTTAAAAAGTGCCCAAAACTACTTTACATGTAATTAACTCTCTCCAGGATTGTTTACACGTGGCATTTATAATAAGTGAATATGTGACTTTAATTAAATAATACTGTAAGATTGTATTGAGGATATTTAACCATATTATTTTGTGCATTTATGTTCTGAAAATGTGGAGCCCAACTGTTACTTATATTATTGACAGTGATAACACCTAAATATATTATTGAAGGGTTTTGAATAGGCATTGCACAGGAGGAAGGACATTACCAGTTAGATAAAGGTTATGGAATTAAAAGATATCTGTCTTCAACTGTATTCATACATCTTTGTCTTCCTATTTCAGTGCAGACCATGATGACCAAGAGGTTGTCATATTCAACAGATGTATGCTGCCTGCTTACTATGGGATATTAAGGATGTGCTGCCATGTGTCCCGTAACTTCACAAGGCAGCTTGCCCAGCACCAGAACATACAGTGGGCTTTCAAAAATATCACCCCATATCCAGCTCAGTACACAGCTGTGAGTATACCACCAGTGATTTACAACATTCTAGTACTAAAAACATGATTATTTCATTTTTCATGTAATAAAAAAAACGAATTCCCATAATACATAGACGTTTTATCATATAGTAAATAAAAGAATAACTGTTAAAAACAAAGAAAATTGATTTATGATTTGCGTCAAACATGTAGACTCTCTCTTTCTCTCTCTCTCTCTCTCTCTCTCTCTCTCTCTCTCTCTCTCT